CCCATCAATGATAGACTGGATAAAGAAAATGTGGTGCATATACACCATGGGATACTATGCAACCATAAAAAGGAGTAAGATCATTTCCTGTTCAGGGACGTGGTTGAAGCTGGAAGCCATTATCCTCAGCAAATTAATGCAGGAACAGAAAACCAAAAACCTCATGTTTTCACTTATAAGTGGGAGCTGAACAATGAGATCAAAGAAATGTAAGCAAATGTAAGTATTTACCACAATCTGTCAAGAAAATGCCAAAGAGGTAAGGTTGTCAGATAAAATACAGAACACCTAGTTAAATTTGAATTCCAGATAAACAATGAATACGTTCTTCATATAAATATGCCCCTTATACAGTATAAATCTGTCTCATACAATATTTGGGATATATTTATAAAAATATCCATCATTTGTCTGAAATTCAAATTTAACTGGTCATCCTGTATTTTTATTTGCTAAATTTTGCAATCCTAAAAAGAAGGATGACATCCATAATGCGAGTAAAAACTCCTGAAAGTCATCATTCTCTACCCTTGTCAATCCCCCACTCATAGGGCAGAGGCTCCCAGAGTCGTCTTTATCCCCACTCCCACCCCAAGCTCCCAAGAACAGCTAATGCTGTCTAAACAGATTTCTCTTTGTCCAATTCTATTCTTAAAAAATCTGCTAGAATATCTTGATTCTACAGTAAATTTGTTTCTTTTCCCTTTTGTACGCACACCTTCCCTTTACCCATCACCCCTGATTGTATTAGTTCATTTTCACACTGCCATAAAGAATACTACCTGAGACTTGGTAATTTATAAAGGAAAGAAGTTTAATTGACTCACATTTCCACATGGCTGGGGAGACCTCAGGAAACACAATCATGGCAGAAAGGGAAGCAGGAACATCTTACATGGAGGCAGATTAGAAAGAGAGAGAGAGTGAAGCGAGAAGAGCCCCTTATAAAACCATCAGATCTCATGAGAACTCACTCACTATCGCGATAACAGCACGGGAGAAACCATCCCCATGATCCAATCACCTCCCACCTGGTCCCTTCCTCAACATATGGGGATTATGGGGATTACAATTCGAGAGGAGATTTGGGTGGGGACACAGCACCAAACAATATCACTAATGAAACCACAGAGGTGGTCTTGGATCTTCAGCTCTTGTGATCTCCTTCCTCTGAGAGGGCAGGGGAAGTGGTCACATTGTGAATACACATTGTCCATTGCTTTTCCCTGTAAGAGTAAAGTCATGCTTAACAGGATTCTTCAACTTGGCTTCCTCTAACATCATCTATGTCACGACTTTACCGGCAAACTCTGGGAAAGGGTGTATTCTTCTGTAGTGTGTTCTATGATGCACTGCAGCCTAGATTTTTCCCTCAGTACCCCACTAAAGCAACTTCTGCTAAGATACTTATTCCCCCAGATTGCCTCCAGGTTTTCCTTGAAATCCTCCTCCTCCTCTAACTTGTAAAAGGCCATCAGTTACAGGTGATGTAAGTGTCCTACCAAGACAAGGTGGGTGGCTGGGGGCAGTATTAGTCCATCCTCTGCTCTCCACCCATGATCACTGTCCTAGGTTATGAAATAGTCCCTAATAAATACTCCCCTCCCCTCACCTGAGTCCTGAAAAAAAGGATAAAGTCAAATAAGTCAGGCAGATAGGAGGTAATAAAATATATTATTACATATGATAGATTGGAGTCTGGGGATTAGGCATGAGCCAATAATAGGTTTTCTAATTCTTTGATGTACAACCTAGTCACAGGGATTACTAGAAGTTTCAAAATCAGGCTTGGCCCTGGGAAACTTAGGGCAGAAGGAATAGATGAGAATCCATACTTCCTTTGGATGCTTGGCTGCCTATAAAAACAAAACAAAACAAGACAAGACAAAAACAAGACAAACAAAACAAAACTGGAGGGCATTTCTTCTCCAACCCACCAACACAGGTTAGTATGTGTTTAGATGCCTTTTTGTTAGTCACTTATGTTCTGCACCCTACCTCTTAATCCAGGCTGCTGCTAGAGAGCCTGCTTAGCACCAGTTCCTGTGCATAAAGCGCTTTAAATAATACTTTGCTGCATCCATGCGAATCTGGCGCACCTCCCTCCTTGCTACCACCTGCTTGCTTCCAGCTCCAGGGCGTTGCGGATGATGCTTGGTGTGAATGTGCATACTTGATCATCCAAGTGCCGATCCGAGTTAATCACCCATCGGGACCTTCCTTGAATGCATCAATATGGGGTGACAAAAGAATAGAACTATGAGTCACCTTATGGTAAGAGATACGCTTATACCTCTACTCTTCTTTCAATTTATTTTCTTGTGTCAGGTCGGATCAGCTCTCTGCGGGCATCACTTTTGGCTAAAGTATTATTCTCCAACAGGTCATTGGATTCCATAGGTACAGTTTGCCAATTTGTTCATCATGCAAAGTGTGTTATGTTTCTTTTCGCCATGTCCACGGTTTCAACCCCTCTGTATCATTCTT